CTTTTAATTTAATGACTAATATTTTATAATATAATATAATCTAAATTATAAAACATTTTTTTCTTTGTATATTTTTTGACTTAAAATGGAAAAAGCTCAGGATCTTCAAGGGAAATGCGTCTTCTGGGATTGGGACAACTAGTACTCCCCCAATAACATCAGACAACAAGAAATGAGTTGTAAAAAAACTCCAGTGTGCCCACAATCTTCTACATTATTTAAATCCGATCCCTACCTAATCACTGCACCTAGTTTTCATGAATGTTAGTAGTCCATTTACGGAGGTGGCCCCAACGATGGTCATGATTTTTTCCCATTCCCATCGAAGCCCGTGCATTTGGAAAGCTGCAAAACCCATTCTTTGAGCTCTAAGTCTTCAACCCCACACTATCTCTTCTCAAAAAACAAAGAAACAATGAGTTGAGAACAACACACATGAAAGATGAGTAAATTTTAAGGGATTCGTGTGTCTTGCAAAGGAGTGTGTTTTCTGCCTCATTCACCACAATTCGGTAGAAATTGCTAAGATCTTACCAATTCATTTCTCAAACGAGCATAAACCTAAGGTCTGTCTGATATTTTTGTATAATATTGTGGTTGTGACTATTATTGTGTTGTATTATTGTTATAAATTACAATTTAATTATAACATATTAAAATGTAATATTTTTTAATTTCATGAGAAACAGAAAATTAATTGTAGATCTTGTATTAAATTAAAGAGATAATGATTACAATACAACTTTATCTCATTCAAAAGCACTTAGTAGTCCATAATTTTTATATGCTATAACAACTATCTTTTAGTGTACAAAATAGTTTAAAAAAAAAATGAGAGAGAATAAACTAAAAAAGATAATTAAACAAATATATGTGAATACGTAATTATCATTTTATCTCTTAAACGTTAATTATACTGTTATAACACACTCGACACTATAGTCGCTTGCAACCAAATGGTAAATCTTAGCTTAAAACATCACACCCCAATCATCTTTTGTAGATTGACTCATGAGTCACTTTTGACATCCATCCAAAGCCAAGAAGATCAAAAAGCCCTCCAACACCTCAACTTTAAAAGGTTCCAAATAAAAACTTCTTATCATACTTGCAAAATCCAAAAGTTGTAATAAAACTTCATCCACCATGTCATAGAATGAAACAAACCCTCACAATTGGAGGGATGACATTGCACTAAGAACGACACAAAATTTCACTTGCAAAGATATAAAGCCACACCATAAAGTGATATAAACTCTCATTGTTGGAGGGATGAAGCTGCACCAAAAGGCAACATAAACCCTCATAAACAAAGGGATAACTAAACTATTGAAAAAAACCTAAAATTTTATAAAGATTAATGAAAGTAAACTATTCTTAAAAATGTTACATTTTAATCACATTAGGGATAAAATCTCTAACTCTAAAAAAAAAACTCTACTGTTGTTGTTCCCCAAGAAAAAGAAAGAACAACCAAGCCACATGAATGGCTTTGTCCATCCAACGGTTGGGTTCCTTATTGTTTTTTATCCGTTTTCTTATCCATACTACTTCATTTCTTTGCTTAGAAATAAATTATTAAGATTTTATATACTATAATGTATATGTAAATAGATTCTTACTTTTTAGTAATACCTCTATGTGAAAGCAAAAAAAAAAAAAACATGGTGAAAACTAATTTTTTTTATCAACCCATCGTGAGAACTAATTATTGAACACAATTTACCACACGTAAATTGATAAAAAGAAAAAATTTACTTCCTTCAAATAGAAAGTAATTTCACTAATTTGTCACACAATTACAATTTGTTAAGTATTAACAAACCCCCTTATTTTGCATTTCTTGCTAATTGCCCACACAATCACAAAATTAAATAAATGAATCACACCAGTCCCCCAAACAAAATTATCTTTCAATAAAGTATCCCATTTTGGCATTCCATCTTCCCAAAACAGCCTTCACACGTCGCTGAATCTGCAACTCTACCCTTTCCACTCGTTGCACTGCGCGGTGGGTCTTGTCTTTTGTATCCCTGCCTTCAACGGGCACGGCGTCTGTACGGGCGGAACCATACAGTTATACTGTAGACACAGTGATGCACTTAGAGGAATCTCAGCCGTCGGATTGATCTCGATCCCGGTTAAATAATTGTGCTGTAAATACAGAACCTGGATGTTGGCCGCCAATAACCGGTCCACAAAGCTAACCGGAACCTGACCGGTAAACCGGTTGTTGTTTAAATAAAGATTCTGTACGGTCGAGAACATGGGAGATATTGGACCTGACAATCTGTTGAAGCTAAGATCAACGGTCGTGATTGTCACCTGATCATCAGGCTGAACCGATCCTGTAAACAGGTTTCTCTGGAGCTGAAGGTTGGTAATGGGGAATGAGAAGATCCGACCTGGAATGGTACCCGTGAACAGGTTCAGACTCAGGTCGAGATAGTTTAGTTGGTCCATCTGGGAGAGGAGCTGGTCGACCGGTCCACTGAGTTGGTTCCAGGCGAGGGACAGGTACTGGAGAGAAGCAGGAAGGGAGTCCGGGGCCAACGAACCGGAGAATACGTTGTGTTTTAGGTCCAGTCGGGTTAAAGTTTGGGAGAGGAAAGGAGGGACCGAACCGGAGAGACGGTTGTGGCAGAGAATGACGTTGGAGAGCTCCGGCAAAGTCCCGATCGCCCGAGGGATTTCTCCGGTGAACTGATTGTAGCTGAGATCAAGTGTTCTAAGATTCCTCAGCTCACCTATAGTCGCCGGAATGGCGTCGGAGATGAAGTTTCTGCTGATAGCAAGAAACCGAAGCTCCTTCAACTGGGAAATCGACTGCGGCAAAGACCCGACGATCCGACCCGGAACAATGGATAACTCAGCGAGGGCAGAGAGTTTCCCAATCGCCGGATCAATCTTCCCCGTCAACCCGGGCGAACCTGCTCTCGGATCCCCAAGATTAAGAGCAATCACTCGATCGGAATCACAATAAACTCCGGCGAAGTTACAAGGATCAGAAGTGAAATCCCAGGAAGCAAAGAAATTAGAGCCCGGAAAATCATCCAGAGACTTCCGCATGGATTGCAGAGCCAAGAAATCAAGTGGGTCTAGCATCGCAAAGACACAGAATTTACACTGGAGAAGACAGAACAAAAACAGAGCAGCATAAACTCCAGCCTTCGCCATTATTACAGAAGGCATGACTGCATCCAAAGGAAAGACGAAAAGGGGTTAAATAAGGAACAGACCACAGAAGATAAAACTTTTTACGGGTGGCAAAGATTGGTTCTCCGTGAGAGAGGAGAGTGTACCGATTTCTCGTGGGGAACAGCGTGACGGCTTTAATGGCGGAAATAATCAGCATCAAAAGAGAAATAGACTTGGAAAGGACGCAAGATCTCTGTGATTAATCTTCTTCTTCTTCTCCTTCTTCAAAAATTTTCCTTTTTCATTATTGTGGCTTCTCGAAGAAGATGCACCCCACACTGCTCTGCTTCTCTTCTACTATATCTGTAAGACTGTAACTATTCATTTATTTTTTCGATTTTATTTTATTGCTGGTTTTGGCTCTTTATTGGGGATGAGGTTCGGGGATAAACGGTTGTCCGAGCCTATGTGGAAAGTAAACAAGAGGCTCGAATGACAGATCAGCAGGTTCGGGTCGCGTTGTTTCCGGGCGGTCGCGTATCACGTGACCAGTCCGGGTGATTCCGACCAAGGTAAAGACAAAAATCACAGGCAGTAAATAGTTGACAGGTCATCACCGGGTTTAAGTTTGGAGAAATGGCCTGTTCATGTCCTAAACCGTAACACACAAGACATCATGGGTAGATGCCAGCTGGACGTTTGTCGTGTGAAAAAGGAAAATTGAAATTTTACTTAAAAAAAGAGTATTTTTATTTGAAAAATGATTTAAGGATAAAGTGGTTAGTTTTTTTTATTATTTATATGAAATTTATAATATTAAATTTATTTATTTATTTAATGTTATATAAAAATTAGGTTAAAAAGTGAGATAAAATGATTGTTTTTATATTATTACCTATTTTTATATACAGATAATATATTAAAAATGTAATTTATTTTATAAATTAATTAAAATATTTTTAATAAAATCATAATTTAATTACACTTTTAACGTAGAATTTACCTTGTAAACATATAATTTACCTTGTAAATAAGAATGTCATACTAATAAATTAGAATCTCATTCTAACAAATTTCTTGATTTAATTCATGCATAAAACTGCACTTCCTAATCTTAATATTTATGAGAAATTTTTTTATATAATAAAATATTATGTTAATAATATTTTTATTTATACCAATGACATGTTAATTTAAATAAAAAGAATTCAATTTTTTTAAATAAAATATCGAATTTGAATCTTATGAATAAAGAAATAAATATTTAAAAAGTTTTCTTTTTATTAGACTCACCATAGATAAATTATGAATTAGTTATGATTCAATATAATTTTTAAATATTAAAAAATTAATTTAAAAATAATATTTTTATTTATTAATATAATGATGTATCAACATCCATAGCTTATGTTTATTCGGGGCTCGTTGCATCAGTTGACACTTGATATGGATGCCGTGGACCTGAGAAGAATTTCTCGAATTCTAGAGAATGCTTTGTAAATTGTAAGGACAACCAAGAGCGTACGTATGGTTTGCAAGGACTGGTTGACATTAATTTCCATGTTGCAATTTCTTAAATACTGCCTCAATGACATTAATGGCTGTCTGGTGAAATTGTAATTCTGTATACCTGAGAAGAGGGAAACCATTTAATGAATCTGGTAAAATGGGACTTAAGAATCTTGCTTATGCAGTGGAGACTGTCGAACAACTGCATAATAAAAAGCCATATCTATGCAATTTTGTTCACATAAAGCCAAATTGCTGCACCCGCTTTTACTTAACAAATTTTAATGAAAATTAAGCACGTAAATTTTAATACAAAATTTACATTTAATTTATAATTAATTAACAATAGATAAAGTAAATTTTTTTTTATATTTAACTTATATATCTTCTTAATATTTGTTAAATACGAGATTTTCTTACAGTAAAAGGGTGAGAGCCTGAATGACATTCTATATATGTGATAATATTTTTCTTCTATTTTCGCTTCTTTTTCTTGAATGTGAATGGTGTTGAGGTGGGTAGCTGTTAGTTTGCTAGCTAGCAATTGAAAGATGACTGGTGCAAAAGCTACTTCACAAGTCCTTGTGTGTGTTGTAAAAACAATAAGCTTTTAAGCAATTGGGGTAGGCTTTTATGATAGGGAAACCTAACCCAAAAACAACCAAATTGAGTAATGGAACCAAAGAGCTATAGAGGGAGCATTTATGAATGAAAGGCAGTTTTTTATTTTTTATTTTTATTTTTAAAATTTTTTTGTTGTGAAAATAAAAATTAGGGAAGGGAAGGTTAAATCCAAGGTCAAAGAATAATGTTACCAACCCTAGTGAAAACTTTAACCATACTTATAGATTGATTATTTATAATGGAGACTACTAGTAACAAGACTTAAAAATGAGTAATTAAAGAGTTTGAATCTTATCAACTAAGCCAACACTCCTATCCTTACCGACGAGAGAATGAGTTTCCAAAACCATGTTGTCCTTAAGCACCTAACAATGGGAAGTATGATAAATTGGTTTTGCCTCTTCTTCAATGAAGTTCCACCGACCATCCTCTTTTGGCTTCCAAAATCTTAATTTCTCTTGATGTGGAGAAGTGTGCTGGTGCACCAGACCCAATAACCCAGAACACTTAACTCACCCTTAATCATCAATTGCAACCCTATATTCATGGCATTGCATTTGTGGCAATGAACTTGGGGACTAGAAAGAGAGGATCTTGCTTCTGCATTTTGCACATTACCATGTTGTGCTCTCTTTCATCCAACCATTCCCTTTTTACTCATGAACCTTCTTATTCTGTATGTTTATTTCTTTCTCAATTCTACCATCGAGTTGTTCGTATACACATTACAGACAAATGTGTGAATGAATGTCCGACAAAACACATGAACTGGATGACAAGTGTGAATTAATATGTATGGATATGGACACAAACATGAATTTAAACATATCGATATTTTTTTATGAGAGGTGTTTCTTCATCCCTCGTGATTGAAGCAAGATAAAGCAGTCGAAAATCTTGATTACTATATACATAAGAGGAGCTCCTTTCTTTTTCTTGTGACAATGAAATTCTAGATGACACTGAATTGCATAATGAATATTTTATGGGTAACAATAATGTTTTGATAATGACAAAGTGTACTCTTCGGGGCAAAATTCAGTTGCATTTCCTAACAATTATGGGAAGAAAATCTGTTTTCACAAGGAGAT